CTGTTTCTTGCTTTTTCCAACTTATGCTGGTAGCTAGCATTCCTTGGCTTGTGGCTGCATCTGCATTTTGTCTAATGTCTGCATTTACCTTCTTTTCTTTTGTCTGGAATCTCCCTTTGCCTCCCTCTGATAGGGATACATGTGATTGCATTTGGGCTAACCTGGATAATCCATGATAGTATTCCTCTCTCAAAATGTTTCACTTAATTACATCCACAAGGTCCATTTTTGCCATCAACAATAACACTCACAGGTGTAAGGGATTAGGACGTGCATATCTTTTGAGGCCATTATTCAGCCTACCACAGTTTGGCTTGAAGCTTATTAATTTTTTGGTTTTATTGATTTTTTTTCCAACTATCATTTTTTCCCCATGGATTTCCATTTGGCCATGTGCTTACTTTGGGTTTCATTTGTCTGCCTTTTTCTGATTTCTTAAGGTTGAAGCTGAGGTTATTGCTATACATTTTCATCTACTTTAACTCCATTCTACAAACTTTTATATGCTATATTTTTATATTCTTTCAGTTTCATATTCTTTTTAATCCCCATTATTTCATTGATCCATATAAATTTGTTTTTAGTTTCTAATTTTGAAGGTGTTTTCCAGTTATCTTTCAGTTATTGATTTCTATATTAATTTCATTATGGTCAGAGAATATTCGTTATATTGTTAGGTAGATAATTAGGATCTCCGGCTCTCCTTGGGACAAAGGTTCCCTCTTTTGGTGCTGTTTTGAGCAATACTTTCACCTGGGAAGAAGGACAAGGGTGCACTCCATTTTGGTGTTGCCCCACCCTTAGTCCTATCCCAAGCAACGGCTGTACCTGAGGAAGGAGGGAATGCTTTCTCAATCTAGGAATTCCCCAGCCCAGGCATAATAAGATTCAGAAAGTGACCTAGAGTAAATTTCCTAAGGGTAGTTAATATGCCATTAGCTTGAATCTGCATTGCTGTTTACCCCCACCCACCCACCCAGGTGGGCTTTCTTAGAGGGAGCCCTATATACAGATGGCATTTTGAGGACACTGTTAATCATCTGATAACATCCCATACCTCCCAAGAGCCCTCCTCCAGACTCGGCTAATAAAAGGAAACAATCCAAGGAGTAGGAAGTGTGTGGGTCAGTGAGTGAGTGAGTGAGTTGGGCAGACCCAAGGGCAGACTCCCACTCTGACATCTTTTGGTGCCAAAACCTGGCATTCTGACAAGATGGCATGAATTATGTGAATTCTTTTAAATTAATTGAGACTGGTTTTAGAGCTCAGAATGTAACCATACCTATACTCTTTAAGAATGTGCAGCCTGGTCTTCGGTGGAGTTTTGTTTAAATGTCAATTATTATGTCAAGTTTGTTTATAGTGTTGTTTAAATCTTCTATATCCTTGTTGATTTTCAGCCTCTGGTTCTATCAGCTATTGAGAAAGGGCTGATGAAATATTGGAGTATAACTGAATTTTTGTATTTCCCTTTGCATTTGTATCAGTTTTTGTTTCATATATTTTGAAACTATTAGTAAGTGCATAGCCATTTAGGATTGTTATATTCTCTTGATGAATTTATTCCTTTATCATTAGAGATTATATTTTCCTGCCTTTGTGTATGCCTGGTCATTTTTTTATTGTATGCCAGACATTATAAATTTTGTTTTATTGTTGAGCTTTGTTCTGTGATGTTATTCAATACTTTGGCAGCAGTTGGGTCTTGCTTTGAAGCCGTTTCAGATGGTACTCAAGCAGTGTTTAGTCTAGGACTAAATTTTCACCATTACTAAGGTAGATACCTTTTGAATACTCTTTCCTTAAAATCCATGTTTTTCACTCTGGTTGGTAGGAACAGGCACTGTTTCCAGCCCTGTAGGAGCTTCTGAGATTGATTTCTCTAATCCTTTCCTGTGGCTCTTTTCCCTGCCTTGGGTTGTTTCCTCACACACATCCACTGATCAGTACTTGACTGAGTACTCAAGGGGGACCCTGAAGATCTCTAGAGTTCTCCTTCCTTCTCTCTCTGAATCTCTCTCCTCCCTGGTCCTGTGCCCTGTGAATTCTAACCCCCTTGGCATGCCTGCATTCTGAGCTGCTCCTTTTCAACTCAAGGAGACCACCAAAGTCCGCCTGGTTTCCCCTCCCTGTGCTGCAGCCTGGAAACTTTTTTGAGGCATTCAGTTGAGACAGTGGTAGGGTTCACCTCTATTTTTTTCTTGAATCTCAGGGATGACTCTTCTTTATTACCTGTTGTCTACAATCATGAGAACTATTAATATTATTTCATGCATTTTTGTATGGCTTTTTGTTTGTTTCATGCAAGAAGGTAAAGCTGGTTACCGTAACTCCACCTTAGCTGGAAATGGAAGTCAAGAGCTGGGATTTTACACCAACGAGGGTCTAGTGCATTTTTAGTCAAACTCGGAGCCTTCTGCAGGCTCGGCTCACAGCTAGTCTGTCCACAGGAATGGCTGCACTTGTGGGACTGTCTTTTTCATCCCTGCTACCAGAGGCCCTGCCAACCTGGACATCTTTGTGCAAGTTACTTAGCAACTTGATACAGTATGACGTGTTCAGAATAAAGGAAAAGATGAACCCATTTTAATTTCTTGAATCTGTGGCTTTATTATGTGTTATGTTTGGGTTCCTTTATTTCTAATCTGTGTTAGTTGGTTAGAGGTTAGTTTTTCTTATGTAGGAATTTTTTGTGTTTCAAACACATTTAAAAGAAAAGTGTGAAATGTTTGTATAAAGAAAATATTTTTAATTATAAAAGCAAATGAAACGTAAGTAGAGCATGACAGTTTAAATTTTCACTTATGAACATTCAGCCAATTAATATGTTTGATTTTTTTTTCCTTCTGCCTCATAGCTTCTGTGACATAAAGACGAATGATAGTCTTTATTTGTTAAGTCAGTTGTACTGCCTAATAAGGGTAGGTTTATGATTTTAATGAAAGGAAATTCTTTAATTTTGTTTATGCATAATCAGACATGCAGCTGCTATGACCAAAATTTATCCGTTAAAAAATAAACTCCAATCTAATAGAGGAACTCCCATTGTTTATTTTTAACAGGAAGTCCAAACCAAGAGAAAATACAAAATCCAGATTTTAAAAATACTAGGAAATAAATATGGGATGTTTATGTGATAGTTTCTCTTAATATTAAGGCAGGTCAAACTTTGGTCCTAATTTGTCATAATTTTCTCTTTGTGTTTCTGCCCTGCAAAACCATTATTACCTAACCTGTCCATCAGCTCATGAAATGGTTTATTACGGAAAGTAGATATAGCTATCCAAAGATTATAATAGATATCTTGCAGCAGGAAAGGCCAATTTCTCATCTTTGGAGGTCACAAAAAGCTGACAAAAGGGTTTTGGGGTTTTTGTTTTGTTTTGTTGTCATTTAAAAAGTTTTCCATGGTATACAAGGTAAATGATATTTTATTTGAAAGTTTTGAGTTATGGAAAAAGGTAATGCATTGCTTATTTTGTGGCTCACACCTCATAGATATCTGTATTTGCAGATGAGCCTGGCCATCTTTTAGGCAGCTGATCCAGATGCATTTTAACACTGTCACCATAGAGCTCTCAAAATCCACCCATTTCACACAGCCTTTTTGGTATATTAGGATTTAATACTGCTTTCCTTGAATCTAATGCAATTTGACATTTATAATACCCTCAGCCTGCTTTCTAAATGGGTTGTCACTGCATTTAGCTTTGAATGGCCATCAACACTTCTCTAAATTAATCTGTATCCTGTCTTGCCATTTAGAGACAAAATTGTTTGCAGTAAATCAAGTTTTATGATTGCAATCACACCCATGCAGAGATCGGATAGTCTAACCCCTATAATGTTCATTTGTAATTAATGCCCTGGCTTGACATTCCATATTAACTTTTATTGCTGAGGCAACAACATATTTTATTCCATTTCTACAAACTGGAATATTGGATTTCCAGAAGATTCCTGAAATAGACTTTCTTGGATTTTAATTTGCTTGACTTGGTTTAGGATTCATTAACAAAACATGGCCTCCAGGAAAAATGGCTCTTAGTGTCCCCATGATCCCAGACCATCTCTTCTAACAGCAGGAATACCATAAGTCCTGGGAGTCAACTCCAACCCCATGAGGACCATAGAGAATGCCTCTTAAAGCTGAGGTGACACCTAACTGAACACTTAGGAAAATAGAAAGGGCCCTTTAGTAATTATGCCCAGACAACAGGCATCGATAAGGTTTGTCATCTATAAGGCCTCAGTAGTTTAGATTGACAGCTTCCTAGAGCTGATCTAGAGTTCTGACAAAGACCAAGGGATCTGGCCTATTTTTTGAAAGCCCATTTATATTTTAAAATGATCATTGAATGCCTCTTATGGAACTGTACAAAATTTAGAAATACATATATGCAGACACACACCCTTATATAAAATAGACATTTTTTTATTACCTTTTTGGTAACTTGTTAATATATATCATAGCTGTAACCAAGTCTGATATTGTGCCCAAATTCCTTAACTTTAGTCAAATATATTGGAATGAATTTTGTTCCTTGTTTAATTGTTTTTGATAATTGCTATTCTTTTGGTTGATTAAAGCAGTCTTGCCAGTGACTTTGTACTCCTACATGGATGAATTTTAAATAATATTTAATTGCCAAGAAAATAGAATAACAAAGAGAGTGATTAATAAATGCAGCTTGTAGGGATTTAAGGAAGAATAATTTGACAGTTTCAGTTGTATATAGGTCTTCCTGGAACTCATAGATTACTTAAACTTGAATTCTCTCTTGTTCCTTTTACACTTTAAAAAATACACGAAGTCTGTCTTAAAATTAATATATTGTACCCAGATTTCTGTTAAAGTATTATTTGTTCTATTTTAAAATACCCAGTCATGTTGATTTCATGGAGACTTGGGGAAATTTATCCTAATGGGAATAATTACTATGAGAGCTAAAAATAATAGATGTGTCCTTTTTTTTTTTCTTTCTTCTTTTAAAATAAAGCCGGACCTGTGATCTGCAGAATGCTGAGTTATCCCCCAACTCGCCGCGCTTTAATTGTGGGTTGTGGCCTACAAATGTTCCAACAGCTCTCAGGCATTAACACCATCATGTATGTATTTCTTTCTGGCTTTTTACTGAAAGGATTGTGAAAGGATTATTTTACCTGAAAAAAAAAAAGAATAGGACTCAGTGATTTGTTGTTATTAAATGTATAGGATTCTCCTTTTGGGAGATACTAACTTTATGAATTTTTTTAAATCCTATAATTTGTAACTAGAAAGAGGTGATTTGTTTGTTGTATTATTGGCTTTATTTTATATAATTTCTCTTTTATGCCATCTAGAACTTCCTTATGTTCTGAGCTAATATATCATTATCCTAAACCATTTCTTGATGCTGGTTAGAAAGTAAAACAATAGGAAATCACCTGGAATTGCCAGTGAGTATAGGCACACAGATAACTAGTTCATTTCCTTTTGGGGCAGTCTGTTACAATGCAATGCGACAGGGATGTTAGTAGAAGTATGTTTATTACAACCAGAGTACAGTAAAGGGGAGATGGAGTGGAGAAGAGAAGTGGGAAAGACAGAAAAGTTCCATGTTTTCTAGTTTTCATAGTAATGCCCAAAGTTGTGTGTATAGTGGGGTTGAAGTGAGGTGAAGAGTATGGATTCTACTGTGTTTCATGCCTTCAGTATTAAACTCATTTTTGAGGGCCTGTTGTAATGAGAGTGAAGTTTCTTAACAAATCCTCATTTAATCTACTGCATCTTTGGGACTTAGTTTTTATTCTTAAATTATTTTAACCAAATTACTCTTCTATAGTTATCACTAAATAAGTTACTACATTCAAGTAATTTTAAAGGAAAATATCCAGATTCTCTAATACAAATGGTTTACCAGGGAAATTTTAAAGTAGACCTGGGCCTAGGCCTCAGGGGTATATAGACTGGTGGAGGAAACACACATTAAATAAAGTCAATGATAAATATAGGACTTCAAATTCTGATAAGGGCTATACAGGACTGTTCCGTTTCTCCAGAGTAGACTTTTAAGATTCTAAATAATAGAATGCTGTTTAGAGAAGATCATGAGTTTTCCTAGAATTTGTCGACTATTAGATGAAAAGTTGCTAGATCTTAGAAGTCCCCCCCACTCCTACCTGTTGGTTAAAATTATTCATTAAAATAATAGAAATTATGTAAAATTAAAATTTCTTTGGTAAACCACTTGTGTTTGAGATTCTGGATATTTTCCTTTAAAATTACTTGGATGTGATGATTTATTTAGTGATAATTAGAGAGGAATAATTTGTTAAAATAATTTTTAAGAATTAAAACTAAGTCCCAAAGACCTATTAGATTAGGTGAAATTTGTTAAGAGACTTCACTCTCAATATAACCACACCCTTCGTGGATTTGGCTTTAATCATAATCCCTGTTAGAATGTAACTTCCTAGACTACATTTTTAATATTTTGGCTTCTCCCTTCCTCTACATTGACTTTATTAATGTTTCCTTCACCTTTATCAACTCTGTTAAGGCCCATCTCTGTTCATATAATTCCAAGCATGTCTGTCTGGTTTTTTCCTCTGGACTTGGCACATCGTGACCCTGTTCTGAGATGTGTCCACCCTCCTTGGGTGTGGTGATGATCTAGAATTGCAACAACATTAGGACCAAGCTTTCAAATGACGCCATGCTGCAGCAGTAGCCCTATGTGAATATTTTAGTTGATCAACCTACTGTAAGATGGGTTCTATTTCTGAAAATATTTTTTGTTCTACATTTTTCTAAGCATTTAAACTTGACAAGTGTGAAAGCATGGAAGAGGAAGGATTTTTGTTGTACTTCTTGTGTTCCTGTAAAACAGGGATCACAAATCTAGCCGCCTCTCTAATTGATAGGAGGTGGCTGAGGCCAGTGTGTTCCTGGTTGAAATGACTGTCATAATCCGTTTGTGACATCTAGTATAAATTGTGCTGATTTAGGCTTTCAGATTTTGAAAAAGCATCCATTCCTTTAAAGCCTGAGTCCTTTCACAGAGATTAAGTGATATAAGGGTCCTCCTGGTCCCTAAGATTTGTGATAGTCATTAATGTCCTTTGCTTATCACAAACTGTACATGATATATAGGAAGTGTTGTCATAGAGCTTTTGCTTGCATTTGAGTATTAATCCTGGAAATCAGGAAGAATAAAATAAAGTAAATGATGGTTGAACTTAGACTGTGCCTACATGATTCAAAACAGCTAGTAAACTCCCTGAAAAAATTAATATGGTGTTCATGTCTAGAGGTTAGACGGTTAGACACTTAATACAATATCTATGCTGTGTAACTATTGTTTATTCATGGTACATCATTTGAGACATTCATATTTTAAGCTTATAAAACTTAGTGTAAGTCAGTGTCATTATGACATACTACACTGCTATTTATTATCTGGATAGAAAATGACTAATCTGGGATGCTCATGTAATGTGTTTTTCTCCTGCTCTCTCTAGTCTATATTTATGTGTATGTATATGTGTGTGTCTTTTTCCAGTCGTCTTAGGATTCAGTAAGTACTATCATAAATTTTGTTACTAATCGTCTTTTAACCAAAGCCTAAGAATTGATTTTTTGTGGGTTTTAGTAGAAAATATTGTTTTTTGCTTATTTTTAAAATGTTACTTTATTCAGAATTTCTTTTTTATAGATATCTCATTATCTATAACATATTTGTGTATTTAAAATTTTACTCTTTCTTTTCAGCTTCTTCCCTTTTACATGGCTCTTCTATATTCTAACCCAATTGTAATAGCGTGTAGAAGTTGAAATTGCTTTTACAAATTCCATCTTTCACCCCAAAGTCTGTGTGAATTGAATAGGTATTTTGAATTCTATTTCTCACCAATAAAAGTTTATAGAAAGATCATATGGAAAATATTAAAAGACCTCATCCTCACAGTTGTATTATGTAATCTTACCATGTTTAGTTTTTTCTCTTTGCTCTCAAAGGATCCTTTATCTCCATCCCCTTGACCTATTTAATATCCTATCTCAGTCAAGGAAATAGATTCTCTTCTTGAAATATTTAATTTTCTTTTCCTGTGCCATATATATATATATGTGTATACATGTCAAAGTATCTTTTATTTGTATGACAAATCATGTTTCTTTATATGCTAACCCATATCATTCTATGCCCTACTGAAGAGAGAACTTGCAAGTTCTTACAAACATTTCATATTTCGTACATTACATTTAACTTTTAAATGAGCTGGTTTTCTAATATGACTCTGATCACTTAATAATTTCAGCGTGCAACTGAATTAGTTATTCTCCTGCGTTCGCAGGAGAAAGAATAAAGCAAATGGAGAGCTAGCATTCCTAATATAAAGGTGTTTGTATTATTGCATTATAGCTCACAAAATATTTTGACATGCGCCAAAACAAAGAAGAGGAGTGATAGATGAAGATCATGATGATTAATGTAAAGAAAACTCTGTACTGCTGCATTCAGAAGTTTACAAAAAAAAAAAAAAAGAAAAGAAAACTCTGAAGAAATTCTCACTGTGATCCCTTCTAAACTCTAATTATAACATCAATGATTTTCCATTTTTATTCTTAGAAAATTGATGACTATTAATGAATGGACCCTTCCCATATTATCATTGCCACAACCAAAATACACATGTTTGAGGTGTTGGAGAGAGTGTGTTTGTGTGTGTGGGGGGGGTAAGGTAGGTAGGTAGGTAGGTAGAAGGAAAACACCAGGTTCTATGTAGATTTGATAGCATCCTTCTTTTTTTGAGGAACTTATAAGCCATATTTTGGTATATTCTGATAAATAGGTAATCAGTCCATCTTGGTCAGATGAAAGGTATCAGATTTTTACCTGGGAAGGCCAAGTAGTTAAATGACTTCTGTTAAGGTTACACAGACAATCAGTAGTGAAAAGGAAAGCCAGAATTTTAAGCTTTTGAGTTTGTTTCAGGTAAAGAGACTTGTGGAGGAATAAACTTCTTTTGGATACTTAGACCCCTACGTTTAAGCCACTGTACTTTCAGAGTAATGCTCCCAGCTTCATCTCCTCTTCTTACTCTTCCATTTTTCTACTGACTCAAAGTAGGGTGGGAAGTAGATGATACCATGTAGACAGATAATTTTGCTTCCGTAACTCCTTTACCTTAACCCCCAGGAGATCACTTACTTTCACTGTAGTTATGAAATAGTGAAGGACTTTAGAAAATATGCTCCAGTAATAATATTAATAGCCATCATTTATTAAGCAATAAATACCAGGTACTACTCTAACATGCATTAACTCAATAAATATTGATAGGAAAGGAAAAAAATAGGGCAGAACTATTTGAGCTCTTCTAATGGTATGTTTGTTATTGTCATGACAATAACATTTTTTACTGTTTTACATATATAGCACTATAATATATTTTCATAGACAGTATTTGTCTTTATCTCAACATCCTGTCAAGAAGGCAGGGCAGTCCTTCTATTTATTCTTTAGCTAAGGCCTAGGGAATTAAATGACTTGTCCACCATCACACTATTAATAAGTTTTAGAGCTAAGAGTAGAGGCCAATTTTCTGACTCTAGATCACATGGGCTACCCTTTAATTTTAGAATATCTGGGATGTGCAGAGCTTGCTATTTATAGCTTGTTTGGTGGTAAGATACAGTAAGTAATCAAAGTTGGTGAAATTCACTACCATCCAAGGATAAAAATCTAAATGACTGTGGGGTAATAAAATCACATGCATCTAAATAATCATAAAACGCGTCCAATTCTTAAACTTTCTGGTACCCAGTTAAGGGCTTTGATTTATACCCTGATCTAGAATTCCTGGACAAGCCAGGCTGATGGTTGAATGAGTCATTTATATTTGTTAATCATATTTAATTAATTTAATTTTGTAAGTGCAGTATTTCTGGATCTGTTCCATTCTCGTATTCTATCTCAAACAAGCTCCAAGCTCTCCTAGTATTTAGAAAAAAGAAAAATACCATGCAGTCAGGAAACATTGCACAAGCAGGCATGGCCAGATGGTGGTAAATGTAGAGAAAAATAAAGGTGACGGGAAATAAGAAAGAAAAGAATGAGAGTTTG